ATCGTCAAAATCAATCTAATAAACCCCTTTTATCCCATTTCCTCTCTACCTTGCTGGTCATTACGTCTCCCAGTGAGATTTGACAGTGTTCTAAGTGGCCTTGCTAGTCCTAGGGTAACCTCCATGTGCTTCTCAATAGTCTTCTCAGGAGAAGTTTGGGTGTCTGCCAAGCAAAGAATGGGCTCAACATCGGCCCAGCCAGTCTCTAGATTGGTTTCATCGATCTCGCTGCATTCTTATTGCATTGAGGGTTTATTTCAACTCACCAGGCATGCTAGCCATTCTTGGTGTGTGACTCAGAGCACCTTCCGATGTCAACACATCTCATATCCATATCATTATTTTGATATCTCTTAAAACCATGTCCCTCTCTCCAAAAGAAAATAAAAAATACCCCTCTATCTCCTATCGGCTTTTGGACATCTCTTCTGCTTCCACTAAGCTCCCAAGATGCTCCTACCAGGGACAAGGACCCTCGCCAGAGGGCAACCCCCTGGCCTGGCTGCTAGTGAAAATTAGGCCAGAACCTCCACACCACAAGGTCGTGGATGCTTCGATGATGAACGGCGGGCACTGAGGAGCCACCATGAGGGTGGTCCGATCTTTCTGGCAGTAGGTCGAAGAACCAAAGATAACTTGTTGTGAACAGTGGGGTAACTAGCTTTATACCTGACAAACGTTGGATGTGACTAAGTGATGGGGAGAGAGGCATTGAATCCTTGAGGACTTTGACTTGATCTCTAAATGACTGCACACCCACAATCTAGAACTAATCCACACAAATGACTCAAAGAACTCATAAGTTTAAGGTAAGTAACTCATCAGCTCTAGACTGGAAAACCATACAAGTTATCAATTCGTCAAAAGGTCTTTATTAGCTTAGAGGCAAGGGATAAGTTTACTAGGAACTTCCCTCCTTGAGTATGAAATGGACTTAGAGTTTCTCAAGATAGAGTAGGTGAAAGGTCTCCATAAGACGATGATGAGAGTGTAACATAGGGGTACGTTAAGTCCCTAGAAAAGACGTAGCGAATCAACTGATCTCTTGACCGATCCTTCGGATTGCTTGGGGACTCAGGGGCTTTACCCATCGGATACGCTCGCGTGTACCCTCTAATGGAGTCAGGGCAACCTCGAGCACGCCCGCAGCCATCACTCGGGGCTCAGGGGCTCAGATATAGCCCCGGGCTACCGAACAACAGGAACCTAAGCCTGATCTCTCCACCTGAGCAACCGCTCGGACGACAACCGATGTTCGGACCTTGGCCAGAAGCCGGTTTAGGAATTTGTCACATGCCTAGAGCCCGACAGGTACAGAGACGCTGCACAATCTACCCATTCGAACAGCTGTGAGGCGCTGTCATCCACTCCCTCGGTAGGGTCACGCAATGGGCGTGTCGACAAAAGATGCACGGCAGTCCTCCGAGGGGTATCCCATAAAGGTAGATTGATCGGTGGAGGTGCGCGTGATAGGAACCGGATGGTGACACAAGACGCAGAGACAACGATTTAGACAAGTTCGGACCGTCTGATCGACGTAATACCATACGTCCTGTGTCTTTGGTGTATTGTATTGAATATGAGATCTATGGAGATGTCGACTAGGGGACCCCTACCTCTCCTTATATACTCTGGAGGGGTAGGGTTACAAGGAAAGTATCCTATTTGGTACTATACAATGTCTTGTGGTGCACGTCGACCAGTGTCGTGCATGCTTTGATCTTGCGGGCTAGGCCACCTCTGAGGGTGCGGCCCATGTCTTGTCTTGGGGATACCGGGGGCCATACCCCCATAGCTAGTCCCCGAGCCTAACAGTAGGTGACGTAGTCATGTGGTGCCAGGGTCAGAAAGTAGAAGAAAGGCAGAAGACTAGCCGAGCAGGCAACCAGTCCACGGGCGGAGCTCTGAATTGAAAAGCGCACATTCACCGCAAGGTGAAGTGTGCCCACTTAGTCCCCGAGCCTGCTAGAAGATGAAGAATGAATCTTGTAGCAGGGTCAAAGAAAAAGAAGTCTAAAAGCTTGCCGACGTTGTCTGACATGTGCGTATCAAGACCCCAGACGTGCTGCCCAAGATCAGCACCCTGATCCGAACAGCATGGAGCAGCTTGATAGCACACCAATGAGGCGTAGTAAGATCCGACCATCAAGGGAGTCCCCAGCGAAGCTGGCGACGTCCGAGCACCGAGGAGTCCCCGTAGCTGGCGATGTTTGAGCACCGAGGAGTTCTCGACGTAGCTGGCGATGTCTGAGCACCGAGGAGTCCCTAGCGTAGCTGGCGACGTCCGAGCACCGAGGAGTCCCCAGTGTAGCTGGCGACGTCCGAGCACCGAGAAGTCCCTGGCGTAGCTGGCGATGTCTGAGCACCGAAGAGTCCCCGGCGTAACTGGCGATGTCCGAGCACCGAGGAGTCCTCGACGTAGCCGGTGATGTTCGAGCACCGAAGGAGTCCAAGCGTAGCTGGCGATGTCCGCAAGGTGAAGTGTGCCCACTTAGTCCCCGAGCATGAAGAATCCGAGCGCCGAGGAGTAACCGACGTAGATGGCGATGTCCGAGCACCGAGGAGTCCCCGGCGTATCTGGCGATGTCCGAGCACCGAGGAGCCCCCGGCGTAGCTGGCGATGAAGCACGATCGACGAACAGTCTGGTCAACTGGTCGGCGGCGAAGTGAGCATTGAGTAGAAGCAACCAGCGAACAGTCTGATCAACTGGTCGGCGATGGAGTCCGTGAACCAAGCGGTCTGACCAGTTGATCGGTGGAGAAGTCCGAGCACCAGGTGGTCCGATCACCTGGACAATGATCCCGAAATACAAATATGTAGAACGGGTAGTACATGATGTAAAAATATATGAACTCCGGAGAAGAAATCAGCAACGGTGAAATAGCGTATGCAGCTAGGCGATAAGTTGGTGTGAAGATGTATTTATATTTAATATAAACCGCCCGACCAGTTAGTGTGTAGCTGAGTCTCTAGCCCTAGCTAGCCTGTTAACCATAACGCGGAGCGCGGAGCCCGTATGCATGTAGGAAGAACAAAGCATCGCTAAGGAGCGGCTGCCGACCACCCATAACGCAGAGGGCAGACGCTCGTGCACGTGTAGGAAGGAGCTAGAGACAGGGCCGTCTCTGGGGACATCTGAGAGTCAACATGACTGTTCGGGGGTTCAGAAAATCATTTGGAGAGCAAACATGGAGAAAATATCTCGGAGAAATATTATGGCGATATACCAAGATTGGAGAATATTTAGAAAAATATTAAAGCGTGACTTAGCTTTAGACAGAATGTCTGGTCGACGGCGTATGGCATTATCTGGTCGGTGACGCGGGCAGCTCGCTTAGCGGATCGCTTGATGGCTGGAATGAAGTTGATCTCGTGTTGGAGTAGGACGGACGTAGTCGAAGCTTGGCGGTGTCAATCCGCGTACGAAGACGTGCGCCGTGGTTGTCGAAGGATGTCGACGCGATCCGCCAAGTTGCCGCGAAGGATGTTGATCTTGAGTTACACCATCTGGTTCGCCAGGGATCAGCGCGCACGAGCCCCTACCTGGCGCGCCAATTGTCGACAAAAGATGCTCGGCAGTCCTCCGAGGGGTATCCCATGAAGGTAGATTGATTGGTGGAGGTGCGCGTGATAGGAACCGGATGGTGACACATGGCGCAGAGACAGCGATTTAGACAGGTTCGGGCCGTCTGATCGACGTAATACCCTACGTCATGTGTCTTTGGTGTATTGTATTGAATATGAGATCTATCGAGATGTCGACTAGGGGACCCTTGCCTCTTCTTATATACTCTAGAGGGGTAGGGTTACAAGGAAAATATCATATTTGGTATTATACAATGTCTTGCGGTGCACGTCAACTAGTGCCGTGCATGCCTTGATCTTGCGGGCTGGGCCACCTCTGAGGGTGCGGCCCATGTCTTGTCTTGAAAATACCGGGAGCCATACCCCCATAGGGCGTGATGCGTCGAGACAAGGAACTACCTAAGCTCCAAGGGCCTAGGGCTCCGGGCCCGCTTATCAGCCCCTCCAGCCAAGAGAGGCTCCTTGCGCACCGAGAAAGCCTCGAGAAGGCTCATCTGGGGACGGCCGCATAGTGGCAGGCAGCTGTTGATAGTGCGGCGTTAGACTGTGGCAAGAGTGCCAAAGAACGGTTGTAGCATTGTCGGCCCCTCCGGTCACAGTCCTACATACCATGGGTTAGGACTCCAACTATTTTGGTCCAGCGATAAAACCCGACCGAGATCTATCTTATGACGCTATCGTCTCCGTTGTTTGGATCTAGAGACTAAAGTTTAGGAGGTGTCACATCGAATGTTCGGATACTAATCATAAAACTAATTACAGAAGTCATGACTAATTCGCGAGGTGAATCTATTAAGACTAATTAATACATCGTTAGCATATGTTATTGTAGCACCGCACTGTTAACCATAGACTAATTATGTTTAGTAGATTCATCTCGTAAATTAATCTCAAACTATATAATTAGTCTATGTTTAATACTTTAAATTAGTTCCTCTGATGTGACAGGGACTATAAACCAAACACCGGTGGCCAAATATCGCATCGCACCAACCCAGGACCAGGTCAGAGCGGTCAGACCAGACCACCTTAGTGCAATTTTGCTATTGCCCAGAGCCCCAGACCCACCAACCAACTAACGTCTCTACTCCCAGCTGGTCAGCTCTGACCAGTGATCCACCACACGAGCACGAGCCGTCGAACCATGCACTCCCTCTCGGCAAGACGGCAACCCAACCAACCCAGTTTCCCTGCTCGGCGACGGCGCACACGGATTTCCGGCACAAACCAAGGAATTCCCCGGTACCGCCACGTTTTCCCACTGCCACCAACCGAGGCAGCCCCGGCGGCCGTCGTTATATAACCACGCGCCACGGGCCGCACCACCCAACCCAGCAGCAGCCGAACACAGCAGAGCAACATATCGTTTTGAGCAACACACCGACTAATTAAGCGGTCAGCAGCAGAGCGCAGCATGGCGGTGTCCGCGGCCAGGGTGGCCGTCGCCACGGCCGTCTCCTTAGCCGTGCACTGGCTCCTCAGGTCCTTCCTCCAGGCGCAGCACCCCTCGCTTGGCATGCTCCTCCCGGCCGCCGTCTTCCTCGGCATTGCCGCGACTGGCAACGCTGGCGCCGCCAACGCGCCGCCGGGGCCGGCGGCCGTGCCCGTGTTCGGCAACTGGCTGCAGGTGGGCAACGACCTCAGCCACCGCTTCCTGGCGCGCCTGTCCGCGCGGTACGGGCCCGTCTTCCGCCTCCGCCTCGGCGTGCGCAACCTGGTGGTCGTCTCCGACCCGCGCCTCGCCACGGAGGTGCTGCACACGCAGGGGGTGGAGTTCGGCTCCCGCCCCCGCAACGTCGTCTTCGACATCTTCACCGCCAACGGCGCCGACATGGTCTTCACCGAGTACGGCGACCACTGGCGCCGCATGCGCCGTGTCATGACGCTGCCCTTTTTCACCGCGCGCGTGGTGCAGCAGTACAGGGACATGTGGGAGGCCGAGATGGACGCCGTCGTCTCCGACATCTCCGCGGACGGCGCGGCCCAGCGCGCCGGCTTCGTCGTGCGCCGCAGGCTGCAGCTCATGCTCTACAACATCATGTACCGGATGATGTTCGACGCGGGCTTCGACTCTGTCGACGACCCCATGTTCGTGGAGGCCACCAGGTTCAACTCCGAGCGCAGCCGCCTCGCGCAGAGCTTCGACTACAACTACGGCGACTTCATCCCCATCCTGCGCCCCTTCCTGCGCGGCTACCTCAGGAAGTGCAAGGACCTGCAGACCAGGAGGCTCGCCTTCTTCAACAACAACTACGTCGAGAAGAGAAGAAAGGTCATGGACACGCCGGGGGACAAGAACAAGCTCAGGTGCGCCATCGACCACATCCTCCAGGCGGAGAAGAACGGCGAGATCACCTCGGAGAACGTCATCTACATCGTCGAGAACATCAACGTCGCGGCCATCGAGACCACGCTCTGGTCCATCGAGTGGGCGCTCGCAGAGGTCGTCAACCACCCGGTTGTGCAGCGCAAGGTCCGCGACGAGATCAAGGCCGTCGTCAGCGACGACGAGCCCATCACAGAGTCCACCATCCACAGCCTCCCCTACCTGCAGGCCGTCATCAAGGAGACGCTGCGCCTCCACTCGCCCATCCCGCTCCTCGTCCCGCACATGAACCTCGAGGAGGCCAAGCTCGGCGGCTACACCATCCCCAAGGGCTCCAAGGTGGTGGTCAACGCATGGTGGCTGGCCAACAATCCGGAGCTGTGGGAGAAGCCCGAGGAGTTCCGGCCGGAGCGGTTCCTTGGCGAGGAGAAGAGCGTGGACGCCACCGTCGGCGGGAAGGTGGACTTCCGGTTCCTGCCGTTCGGCGTGGGCCGCCGCAGCTGCCCCGGGATCATCCTGGCGCTGCCCATCCTCGCGCTCATCGTCGGGAAGCTCGTGCGCAGCTTCGAGATGGTACCACCGCCGGGCGTGGAGAAGCTCGACGTCAGCGAGAAAGGAGGACAGTTCAGCCTGCACATTGCAAAGCACTCTGTCATCGCCTTCCACCCCGTCTCTGCATGATGATGATAGCTAACCACGAATGCTGCGCGACATTTTCTGCAGATGAATGTTACCCCTACCCAGTACCCACTCATTTTCGTTTTTATTAATTGCCAGTTTTCTAGTATACGACTTAGTACAGGAGAAATGTCGAGTAAGGGTTCAAAACGAATTTATTGTTTGAGTTTTTGGGATTGTGATTTTAAAACTGAAATATTACTGTCACCAGTTATCTAATTTATTTAAAATAGTTCAGACTCAGAGTCCTGCTATGTTTCCCGTTTGCACTCCCTTGTCTTTCAACCATTTTCGCGGTTTTCAAATCGATTGAAACAACGGGCACCTTGTCGTGTTCCTCTAAGTACTCCAATACGAGAGACTAGCAGTTACATGCCATGCAAGTTTAAGAACTGTTTCAGACTTTCAGTGCCCTTCTTTTTAAGGAAATGTGCTCCCAACAAGGTTGAGTATATATGGAAATAAAAATTGATTTAATCTGAAATTAATACTCTCTCCGTCCATAAGTCTCCGTCGTTTTAGCCATGTCATGAAGCACCTTGACCGGTTTGAATATGCTAACATCAGTAGAGGCCATACGTAGTAGGGCATCGGCAACATCACTTTGATCAACATCGGCAAAGGTTTCTTTGCAATCAGGCACTTCAGTTTCACAGGCCAAAGAATCCGTAACAAAACGCACCTGCTCACAGAAGAATCGTTGGATTCATCGCAGGAATCTGGCGCCCAGTTCACGCCACGCACAAGACCCAGATCGATGGCGGCGCCCTGGCGCTCCATTGCAGTCGACGAAGGTTGTGGTGAGGCGTGATGGTGAAGAACGATCGCGGCGGCACGCGCAGCGACATACTTGTTGAGGACATTGGATGGAATCCTAACGGGAGGGGACGGAGAGATATTTGAAGCGACGGGAGAACGGCGGAAGCAACGAATGCGCAGCGTACAAGGAGTCGCGGGCGCTTAGGGACGAGACGAACCCGTGGTCCTGATCTAATACGATGGAGACTCTTGGATAAAAAAGTTTGCTCAGAGGATGGAGAGAGTAGTTTAGAGAGAAAACTCCAACATCAATTTGCCTTGATTCTCCATTGGGCTAAAGGAAAGACAATTTTTACAAATTAGTAAAGAGAAAATTCAACATCAATCTGCCTTGATTCTCCATTGGGCATTTCGGGCTAAAGGAAAGAATTCAACATCAATTTGCCTTTATTCTCCATTGGCCTAAAGAAAAAACATTTTTTTATAAACCTTATTCTCCGTTGGACTAAAGGAAAGAATTCAACATCAGTTTGCCTTGATTCTCCATTGGTATAGAGGAAAGAATTCAACACCAATTTTCCTTGATTCTCCATTGGGAAAAAGAAAATACACTTTTTACAGGCCTTTTAAAAATCAAAGAGAAAATTCCAACATTAGATTGCCTTGATTCTCCATTGGACAACAGGAAAGAGTTCTAACATCAATTTGCTTTGATTTTCCATTTTCTCCATTGGCCAAAAGAAAAGACACACACCTTTTACAAATCTTTTAAAAAGAACAACTTAGGAGGAAGTATGCGGTTTTTTATTTTAATAACAAGAAAATAGACACATAAATTTGAGATGAATATGACTCAAACCTAGATTGTTTGACGCATGATGATACCTTCCACCCAACCAATTGAAGCAGACTCACTTCCCAACTTTTCAGAAATATCAAAACAGGGAAACAAAAGTTTTTTATTTAAATCTTTAGTTATTTTGGGCTCTTTTTTTTCTTAACTATCAAATATGCCCATGCATTACAACAAAACCAAATATACTGATAGATTCAAGTTGTTCTAATTCGTGAGTCTAAACCACATACGAGATACAGAGGACTTGACCCAATACGTCTCTGAATCAGACTCCTTATAGACGCGAATTATTCTAACTTGTATAAGCATGTGTCTAAAGTCCAGATCACATACGATACGAAACACGGAGGACATGAGTGCAGTTTGACATGTAAAAAAATAGGATGGAAAAAACGCTATTATCTAAATAGTTACGGGAAAGTGGATAAAAAATAGGAGAGAAATTTTACCTCTTTTAATATAAAAATTAGGAGAGGCTTGCCGCTTGCCCCATAATACATACTAAAGTAATAGGGATTTTAACAGTTACCCCTGCCTTCCTTGGAGGCATGAGAGAACTGGGTTCAAACAATGCTTGGTATTATGGAGTCTTGTATATATCTCAAAAAGTATAATAAAATTAAAGTAAAACAAATTTTAGATTAAATCTATACCTAATAATAAAGAGGCAAAATTTCTATCTCTTTTTTTGTCTAGGCCTTTTTGGTCTGGCCCATTCGTTATCCTCTCATTCGGCCCAACGATACTCTCTAGAGAAGCCCACTCGCTGGCATGTGTGGATGACGGCAGACGCGCTCGCTCACGTGCGTTCCCCATGACCCGAGCACCCCACCACCTCCCTCGCTCCTGCCGCACACGGAGGGCCTTCTCCCCAGCCACCGCCGCACGGTTTCCGCCGTGGCCGCATCTGCAACCTGCGAGCGGTGCAAGGTTGTGGCGGCCTATGGGATACGGCGAGCGGCGCGGCATGGCGGCGCCAGCGCGACTACTGCGAGCGGAGCGGGCGAGCGGCGTGCCGACAAGCGCTAGGCGACAGCAGCTGCCGCTGGGGCCTCGGCCCTTGGGTGCAGCTGCACTCGCGCAGCGTGGGGTGTGCCCCGTGCGGTCGCTGAGCAGCGAGTGCAACGGTGGATGCCAATGCAAAGACTGCTAGGGTCGTTTAGGTCCTGGATTTGGGATTTGGGGCATTATATTGTTGGGCCAGCAGGGATATTCGACCTGTTTTTCACCCCTCGACGCCAGAGACAAGCCTCCGCATGGAATCCGGCATGACTTCCTAGCCGTCCTACGGAAGGAGGAGTTGAGGGAAGAATTAGAAAGAAATAACAGGGTTCTAGATGCAAAGATACGAGAGACAAAAAAATAGTGAAAGGGTGAAAGTTCTAGTTTGGTTTTAGATAATTAATGAAACCACGGACTAACCTTTGATCTAAGTGTGTGATTTAGATAAGGTAGTCCAATTCAAGTGATGAAGCTAGATGATGGTCATGGTGAAGGTGATGGCCACAAAAGAGATGATCAAGTGCTTCATATTTAGAAAAGAATAAAGAGAAAAACAAAAATGGGCTCAAGGCAAAGGTATATTAATAGGAGCAATTTTTGGTTTGCACTCAATATACCATAGAGGGTGTGAGTGATTTAGGATCGATAACCGTACTATTAAAAGAAGAAATATTTGGCTAAACGGTTTATCGAGTGCCACTAGGTGACATGATTCTTGCATATGCATTAGGAACCTAGTGTGCTAACAATTAACCCTTGAAAAATGCTTGGAAAAATGCTAACATACGTGCACACAAGTTCTACACTTTGTGGTTAGCAATCTAGAAGTAAGGGTGAAGTGGGTGTGGACTTGGATAAAGAAAAGGAGGATAAGGGGAAGGACCGGATGCTGCCGTCGGGGTGGACCTACGTGTCCGGTACCTAACCCTAGGTCTCGGTCAGCCGCACTGGCTTGACTAGACACAGGGATCGGACACCAGACGTGCGTCCGGTCACTGGATCCAGAGAAGGTGTAGGGTGACCTCACGACTAGACCCTGAACAGTGCTTGTGACCGAACGCGCAGGGGCCGCGTCAGGTCATCGATAACGTACGCTGCCGTCAGCCTCGTGGTGGAGCGAAGTGAAGAACAGACGCAACAACACATCCGGTCACCCTTGACCTGACGCATTTGGTCGTCAAAAACACGCTCTAGGAGCTCTCTATTGTTGACCGGACCCTGGAGTGGTATGCGCCCGGTCAGACATAGAGGCACGTCCGGTGAGTGGCTAACACACACGCAAAGGCCTCAACGGTCGGATTCAAATGTGTGTGACATGGCTCTCGCTGGTTGGCTTGGAGGAGCGATTGGACGCAAGGGCTGTGTCCGGTCAGTGCGTCCAGTGGCCCTTCGATAGCCCAACGGCCCTTTAAGCTTTAGGACTCTATAAATAGGAAGGTACCGGCTTAGGGCTCTCTCTCTCTTGGTAATTTGACATACTTGATATCCTTGTGAGTCTAAGCAAATACCTCCCACTCTCATCTTCATCATTGATTCATCATCATAGTGAGATTGGAAGTGATTCCAAGTTCATTTGCTTGAGTGATTGCATCTAGTGGCACTTGGAGATCATTGTGGCTATAGATTTCTTATTACTCTTGGTGGTTGCCACCACCTAGATGGCTTGGAGCAGCGGAGGAACTTTGTCACGTGTTGGTGATTGTTCGTGGCCGGCTCCGATGATTGTAATGGGTCTTGCACCTTCCTCGACAAAGAGTTGCAAGGTAGCTCTAGTAAATTACTTGTGTCATTGAGTTACCTCACTTGTGGGTATGTCCTTGCGGTGTCCAATTGTATGGACGAGGTTCATGCAACACCTCTTAGCCATCGACCCACCAAGTGTTGGTCGACACAACAGGGACTAGTGTGCCAGAAAGCACGTGAACCTCGGGAAAAAATCTTGTGTCTCTTGTGTGATTAGATTTCTCCCGGTGATTTGTTGGCTTCATCTTGTGATTGGTTCATTCCTCTACATGACGGTATAATCATCCTATTCACTCAATTACTTTCTTGCAAACTAGTAGTAACAAGCTCTTTAGTGTAACTAGTTTTGAGAGCTTGCTTGGTAGCTTAGTTTCATCTGGTGAAACTCTTTAGTGTAGCCTTGTTGAGAGCTCTTAGTGAGTAGTGACTTAGTCTCTTGTGTGACTAGAGATCATAGCTACTAGAATTGTTGAGTAGGTGAATTGCAACCTTTGTAGAGCTATAGCAAAATTGTATTACCCCATTTGTTGTACTAATCATTTGCTCTAGTGCTTTGTAGAGATTTCAATAGGCTATTCACCCTCCTCTAGCTATATTAGGACCTTTTATTAGGCAAATTGCCATCCTCCGGATGAATACTTTG